TATGGTTTGTGATCATTGTAGGGCTTCTCTGTTCATGGTCTGTTGCTTTGTGTCTTTGAGTAGTGTATGGTTTGTGATCATTGTAGGGCTAAGATGTATTATTCTGCCTATGATGGTTCTATTCTAGGTTCTTGGTTGTTATTTAGCCTACCTTCCAGGTAGTGCTCTCTGGTGTAGCCCTGGGCTTTCATGTTATTGTCTCAGACATTTATTTTTGTTATGGAGATTTTCTATCGTTTGGAAAAAAAAAAAAACTAAATGATTAAATTTACTTCCGTATAGAATTTTTACTAAATTATAGTGTAACTAAAACTGTAGCAAGATCATCTATAAGCTTAGATATAGTTTTTTTGCAAACTGCGCCATATAAGATAATATATTCCACTGCATGCATTATAAAATACTTAAAATAAGTTTGTCTTCCGATATTATATTTTTAATACATGCATTATAAAAATATGTGAAACATTTTAAAATAATATATTCATAGTGTAAAAGCCGCAAATACTTTATGCTATAAAATATTAGGATTATATTTGATCTAAGTTCTAAGTTAAAATATGATCTAATTTCAATATTGAATGATATATATTGAAAAAAGATCTTTATTTATATTGAAATTAATAGAATCAAAATAAAACAGCTCTTAGTGGGAGGACACATCCAGAAGATCGCATAACACCTACACTACAAACAACGCACCCACTATCAATACAAAAACGAACAAACTCCACAACTGGAGAAAGAAACTCCCACACGGGAGAATAACACGCTCCCCTACGGGAGAATAACACAAGAAACAAAAATGCATAAAAACACACAATACTAAACAACAAACCAACAAATACATACAAACACATAAAGGAGAAAACAAGCTAAAAAAACGATATATTACTAAGCCCTCCCCATCCGCCAACATAAGTCCAAGAACCACCAAGTGAGGCGGCACCCGCACAACAGACAGATTCACAACTCCGACCAAGAACTAGAAACTGCATAAGGCCTCACTAAAACTTGTCCGGACGAGTCGGCCTATGACCATGTCTACAAGGTTCCAATAATAGCTACAATAATATGCAGCCCATGGTTAAAAAAATTCCTGGCTACACCCCTTGTTAGATCAACTATTCCCGACGGTTACTTGATGATCCAACGGTTACGAACTTCGACGGAATGATTTATTAACGGGACCGTAGCATTTCTCCTAACTACCTTAATATTCCGTTGAGATTATTTTTTGTTTTTTTTGTTTTTTTAGACTAACCCATATTATACATATATATTTTTATGTTTTCCATACTAACCTATATCGCTTAGGTAATTAACATAATCGTAATATAAACAGAAATACAATAATGAAAACTTATGTATGGATAAAATCTCTGGTCGAAAAATATGCATATTTTGTATATTTATAGTGTATTTTATATGTTTAATTTAATGCACATCTATATTTTTTGATGTATTTATTATTTGAATGGATCTTTGTGCTATCAATATTTTATACTTTTTTTTTCAGCTCATGGAAGTATTTTCTTAGATCCGAAATCTTCGACGAGAGTTCTCATTAGTAGACTTATATATGTAATAAAAGTAAACGGAGCGCAAACAAAGTTAAAAAATAATAAATTATTGAACACTTCTGTATATACAACGTTTTTTATTTGATTTGTATGCAAGTCATATCACCACATACTAGTATTTTCAAATCACTTCGCTTAGAAACACGAGAAACATGAACTTATAACCGGTGATGACTGAAATCGACATTGAAAGTAGTTATAGTCATTCTAGAAATCAACACATTCTCTCATGTGTGAACCTCTGTGAGTATCTTACACTAGAGAACTATTCTGTATGTTTTTGTTGTTATTTTATGTGTTTTTAAGCGTTTTATTGATGTTTGTTTTATTTTATTTTAGATTTTTCTCGGTCTATTTAGTCGGTTTTGCTCGTTTTTGTATTTTTTGTGTTGTTTTAGTGTCTTGTGTTTTTTATTTCTATTTTTACCTTTTATTTTGTAAGAAAAATACACTCAGGAAGTGATTGAAAAGATCTAACGGAAAGAGTCTGGAACTTCGCCCAAATGAGCATGAATTTTCACGAAAAGAGGCGAGCTCCCAGCGAACTAGAGCTGTGCACAACACACAAGCACGTGATTTCCACCAGGCAACCAGCCTCAACTCGGCCACCAACGGGCATTAGACAGCCCGCGATTTACCCAACCTATGCCTGCGCTCGCTCGCCAAATTTAGTTCGCGACCTCGCCAGCCAGCAATTGCCCGTGAACTCCGTTCCGCAAGGTCATGAGTTCGCCTACAATAAAGCAATTAGAGAACGCTCATACATGCCGACATACAGATTCTTCAGTACTTTAAGTTTTCTGATGTTAGTCTTTGTGTACTCTCTCTTTATTGCTCTATTGTAGGCATATGAAAGAGTTGGAAGCATGATACATAACAGAGATTATGTTCGTGACATCATTGGCGTAATTAATGTTACTGTTTTGATAAATTTGATGGTCAACTTCTGAAATATGTTGGAGCGAAAATTGGTGGCGAAGATTCTAAGAGTAGAATGGTTGTTTCTGTCATGTTGCACGAGAAAACGGAACAACAGTGATGGAGTTGTGTCCGGCCGATTGAACTGAAATACGATAATTCTCTCAAATATTAGGCACATGCTTTTCAAGCTCGTGATTCCTTTTCGAAATGATGAAAAGTTGTTATATTCATTTCATCTGCTAATTTTTGTTTTCAATTATGAACAACTCCAACAAATGCGGGTGAGATTTAAATGAGTAGTGTAGTCTAAAATAATAACTTACAATGTTAAATCCATGCTCTCAACTCTTACCCACGTAAATGTTATAGTCCTTACACATGATAATAGACATTTATACACTCAATTAATCTTTGTAGCTGAGATTGTTGACTGTCCTTTCCCCTATTCAGCCTCCACTAGCGAAAAGGGACGTCACCCCTTCAAGTAATGAAGAATTTGTATTTCAATCTCTGTAAAAGTTCTTTTTTATTGCTATATTGGAGGCGTATAAGAGAGTTGGAAGCATGATACACAATGGGGAATGTGTGCGTGACATGTTTATTGTGTTTTTGTGCTTATTTTCGTGTGTTTTATGTGCTTTAGTTTAGTATTATTAGGTCCATTTTAGTGTCGACGGTCTATTTTATCGTATTTCGTGCCATTTTTTGATATACTTCTGAGTCGTCCGAACCATGTCCTAGTCACGCGAACCATTTCCAAGCCATTCCGAGAGTATTTATTAATTGCGTGGTGACACCCATTTTCACATTTCAAGACGAGGAGAAAAGGATTTGAGGAGCGTGGGTCAAAGTTTCAAGTCAAACGGAGAAGCATGCGAGAAATTAGAGCAATCGAGCATCAAGAGGTCACCGGGACCATTCCCACGCATCTTCCCGCGCTCTCGAGCTCGTGGAAACTCCCGCGATGTCGAGAGTGTCACTCTTCTTAAGCCTGCGAGCTTGTGGAAATTTCTGCGACGTCGAGAGTGTCCCGCAGCACGCCCACACCGCGCCCGTGTGCCCCAGCACCAGCGCCTCAGCGCCAACGCACGCCCGCGAGCAGTGGACCATTCCGCAACCACGCGAATGCTCCCACGCCATACTAGCCCCGTGCCAACTCACGAGCTCGCGAATTTCGTGGCGACCTCGAGAGTGTTTGACTAAATGTGCGTGTTTTTAGTGTGTGTTTGTGGTGTAGCTATAAAAAGACATTGTGCTTTGTATTTTTGGGCATCACCCTCATTTCTCAACTTTTAAGTTGGAAATCCTCTCCATTTTTTTTTCTTTTAATGTTTTAGTTTGGAGTGTACAAATCAAGTTTTCCGGTAAATTTCCGGCGACATTGTTTTGAGTAAAGTTTCAAGCTTTTGACTCCGTTTCTCTTTCCAAGTGCATGTGAGAGTGGATACTTAGTCTTAAGCTCCATTACTTCGTATATCTTTGTTTAGTTTTTGTGAAAATTGATATTGTGTTTGTGTTGCTTGGAAGAAAAGATTGAATCTTTAGATCGTGAATGCTTGACTAAGTGTGATTAGGAGATGAATGCTTGCTCATCTTGTGCTAGAGTTTGGTTTAGCTTCCTAGGGTTTTAGATAGCATAGCAATGTTCGGTTATTTGTGTGTGTTTGATCATAGAGACTCCGACGAACCAAAATCTCTTTTTCCCCCTTAGTTTCTCTCATCTCCTTGCGTGCTTTCTTTTGCCTTATTAATTGCTTTCAACTGCCCTCAATTCGTAGATTAGTTTAGTTTAAATTGAAACCTTCAAGCGAGTAGCATGTTTAGAACCTTTTCGGTTGTGTGATTTGGTTACTAGATAGTGAACGAAGCTCCGAAGAGCCTTCCTTTGAGAACGACCCGAGGCCGGGTAACTCGGTTACCAATACCCAAAAATACTACAAACATGACATCATTGGCGTAATTGATGTTAATGCTTTGATTTGATGGTGAACAAATTCGCCCGAATATCGGGCACATGCTTTTCAAGATCATGATATCTTTTTGAAACGGGTGAACTATTGTTATATCTGATTCATTTGCTACTCGTTCGTTTCAATTATGAACAACTCCAACAATTGTAGGTGAGATTTAAATGAGTAGTAATGTCTAAAATAATATATTACCATGTTAATTTCATACCATGTCCTCTCTATCCACATAATTGTCTTATTGTTAGTAGTTAGAATCGTTGACCGTTCATTTCCCTGTTCAAGCTTAATCGGGGAAAGGGTCGTCAGCGGTTTCGACTTTAAAGATTTAAGTGCCTAAATGGATAGAGTGGATAAAGTTGAGAAACCATGAATTTAACATGGGTAAGATATCTTTTTAACTATACTACTCATTTACATCTCAATCGTAGTTGTTGGAGTTGTCATACTTAAAAATGACTAATTAGCTGATGAAACAGATATAAGAACTGTATCACCATTTGCAAAATGAATCATGAGCTTGAAAAACATGTCTGATATTCGGGAGAATTGTCTCATTCGATTTGATTGGCATGGATCCATCACCGCATTTTCGTTTTCGCTCGGCTTTAACGTTAGGTTCTTTTGTTTTTTTTTTCCAAGTAAAATTCCTTAAATAAATAAAAAAATGGAACCACCAGAACTGGCCTGAAACCGCACAAAAACCGGTGGGTCAGTGACCCGACGAATTGAACCGGCCCTTAGATGTAGCCGGGTCGATTCTGGGCCCAACCTTTAAGGCCCTCCGACCCGTCCGGGCCTGGTCGTGCATTGGCCCGGTTGATTTCCAGTCAACCGGTGGTTAACGTCGGTCAATAAAATAAATTAATTTATTTATTATAATAATTAAATATAATAGTCAACATTTTTTATTATTTAACTAATGTGTATTCCAATTGATCTAGATAAAATTAATAACT